CTTCCCGGAACGTTGGTGCTTCACGTCAGCTATGTGTTCTTTTACGCGGGTTTTTATAGATCGTTTTGTTTGCCCTATATATGAGAGACCACACTCACAATCAAGCTTGTACACTCCTGCATCTTGTAGAGGAATATTGCACTTGACGGATGGTAAAAATATTTATTGAATCTCTCTTAAAGTATACAAAACTTAACTGCATTTTGTCTTGTGAGTGACTCAAGTCATAGTTGTAGGCATATTTCTTAGCCGTCAATAATTATGGTCCAGCTTAAACATAATTTACTTTACACATAAGAGATTAAATGTCCTGACCTTCTGAGAGAAAACGCATCTCCGGGTGTGTGACTAAGAAAGTACAATTTCCTGTATTGAACGTTGTTGGAGATACAAAAATACGGTATTTTAAATCAGTACCCTAATAGTAAATAAAATGACCTTAAATATTTTCTAAACATCTTTTATTATATATTGTATTATTAATCGAACAATAATTGTTATTACCTAGTTTATTTAAACTACTTCTTGCTTAAAACAAATATTATTAAAATATTCTTTAAACGATGAATTATTAAATACCCTTAAAAATAAATTTGTTCACATTAGACATGTTTTAGTTAAATAATCATACATGTAATTCCCTCTGAAATTAAGTCCCTAATAGATGGTCGAAATACATTCAGTCAAAAAGTATCGGGAATGGATGATTTGTTTATGGTTCCAAATTAAATTTTTTTTTGTTGTTAGATTAACACAACTGTTTTCCATTTTGACGCGGAGTTTGAGTTACATCTGTTATTTAGATTAAATACAGTGGTATTTTTAGTTATATCATATCTAATGTGTATTACGAATTTCACAGCGCACAAAAACATCGAACAAAAAGTTTAGAGTCGCCCCCCACTTCCTTTTCCTGCCGGACCTGCTTAGTTCTTTTTTATACATTTTTAAAAATCTCATTTTGAGGTTATACTTTCGTAATGTTTGTGACAATATAAACCTGATTTATGGGGGTAGAGAGTTAGGGGAAGGGAAGCTTCACGTCACTCAACGTGGTGTAGTCGAGGGTAGATTATTTGAGCGTTATGCGGCGTTTAAGAGAGCAAATTAGACGAAAAAGGCCAGATTTGTGGAAAGAAAATTCTGGAGTTTTGCACCCCTATAATGCGGCTTCGCACAAGGCCATCATTGTGAACGAATTTTTGACCAAAAACTAAACAAATACCATCGAGCAACCACCCTATTCACCCGATATGGCTCTAGCCGACTTCTTTCTTTTTCCTAAACTCAAATTACCACTTCGCGGCACCCGTTTTCATTCGGAAGAAGACATAAAGGAGAATTCACAGCGAGAACTGCACTCAATTCCAGAAAAAGCGTTTATAAAATGTTTTGATGATTGGATTATTCATTGAAGAAAGTGTATCGTTTCTGAAGGAGTATACTTTGAAGGTGATAAAATAAACTGGGATGAATAACTAACATTTTGTATATTATTGATCTTTTGCCGGTACTTCCTTGACAGAGTAGAATAATATATGAGCACAAAACAAAAATGTGTATTATTTTAAAGAACTCTTTTTTTATATAAGTCGACGCATGTAATAAAAGTAAAAAAAAAACCGGCCAAGTGCGAGTCGGACTCGCGCACCGAGGGTTCCGAACAAATCCGTAGGTATATAAATTTAAAATTATTAAAAATACTTTTATTATATGATGTAACTAAAAATTTATGCTTTTCGCAATTTTTCCTTTATCTGTGCTATAATACGTTGCTTCGTACCAAATTTACTTACTTTATTTAACCCTGTAGGTTTTGATTCCCTTGCGAATGACAAAAATTTGCGGCATAAATGGCTGTATCTTTTGTTTGCGTTGGCTTAGAACTTTGATTTTTTCACTGCTCCAAGGTACAGTAGACTTGAGTAATTGATATGAATTTCAGGTAGATACCTCCACGTGTTCCTGAGAAATGGGGTCTTGACCTTTTGCTTTTGAGGTACGGAACCCTAAAAATAGTGAATATCTGAACTAATTTGCATTTTCATTTAAAATATTTTTTTACTATGATTATAAGTACATTTAAAAATACCGTACTCATTACACATATTATTAATAGCCTGTACAATACATTGCTGATTCCAATATTCATAGATATTGTCCATTTTAATAATAAATGCAAAAACTATTGTACGTAGTTACATACGTATACTATATTGTCTTCAATATCTCATAGTGTCAGCAGCAAGTAATAAACCTTTTATCTCTTCTTTTTGCTTAATTTTTTTATTTCCTCTGAATCATCTACTTGGGCTCTCCTCTGGGACTATTTTAAACAAGTGCATGTTTAAACGCAGTCTCGTATCCCATATAAGATTCTCCATCATCCGTAAATAATTCACAACCAGACATAGCCCACAGAAGTGATAATGATCTTCATAAGTTGATGCAATTTATCAAGCCCTGTTCTTTTCATATGTTGCATTACATGCACCTACAAATAAAACTTTACGATAATTTGTTAACATATTTTTAATGATCAGTGTTTTCAACTTCAACCTTCGCGTCAATTCCAATACAGTAGCTAACTTAAACGAATCTAAAATGTTTGATATCACATTGACGTCATTGAGTTGCGTCGGTTCTGTAAATGAATTAATATATTCTCTTTGTCCCGTTATGTTGTTTTTTTTTTTTAATTTCGTGGTTTGCATGATTAATGCAATCTATCGCAGTCGGTACGCGTGCAAGAATCATACATTTTAATGTAACACAAGATTTTGTATTTCGTCATAAAAGAGCTGAGATGTGGTTGTAGTGTACATATAAGAACACATGTTCGTGAAAACAATTTCTTTTATAATAACTAATATACTTTACTAAATAAACCAGTTGTTGCTGAGAGTTCAATTGTATATGTTCAGTTTATTATGTAGTTATTGGATTTGTAATTTATGAGACCATCCATCCATTACAGCATATAAAAGTCTACTGCTGAACAAAGGCCTCCGCTATAGATTGCTTCGTAGAGGAACTTTGCCATAGTCACCACGCTTGAATATATAAGAAGTCACTGCTACTCATCTCCTGGTTTGTTTCCCTATGTCGGATTCTCTATGACATACGTGGGACGATATAGTGTATTGAATATTCTTACACCGTCTCTACACGTTTGGATGAATGGAATACAAAGGTTCTAGTAGCAGAATCATAACGTTAACCAGTACCGGTAAGTGAAGTGTAAGATACTGGATACGATACGATGGAGTGACGATCTGGTAAGTATGCAGAAAATTGATGTATGCAGGTGGCTCGGGACCTTGCTTTCTTACATTTTTTGTGAGGCCTATGTTCAGCAGTAAACTTGTGATGGGCTATAATAATGGTGATGAAATTACAAATTTTATTTCGTGTTTTTTAACCGACTTCAAAAAGCCTCATAACTTTTTTCTAGGTGAGCCGATTTTGATGATTCTTTTTTTATTCCAAATCTGGTGCTTCTCATATACTCCCATATAAATTTGACCAGTAGTTTTTGAGTAATCCTTAATAATATATATTGAAGTCGGTTGTATACTTAAATTTGCATGCTAATTATAAGCAAAACGTGTACTTATTTTACTGTACCACCTACAAATATCATGTTTTAAGCAAATAAAGAAATTATTATTATTGTTATTATTACATTTTTTAATTTTACCGCTTTTTAGTTATAAGTGTGCTTCAATCGGTGTGATTATCGGGTGACACTTCCAAATTAATATATTTATTAAACGCTTATAATAAAGTCATAAAAATTGATAGGAGTCGTAATCGTATAACGCAAAATAGGCAAAGGTGAACAATTCAATTTGGAAAGAGAAGGGCGTCGAGGCTCAGTCGGGATGAGGGTCTGACGTCAGACGCAACCTCGACACGGCCCGCCCGGCCCGCGGGGGCAATGCACCACAACGTCACAGCGCGTATTCGAACGTGTACACCGTTCCCCGTTTACTGCACCCTTCTCGCTGGTTGACCCAATTTTTAATAAATTTAGGTTATCACTGCTTTACTTTTCGAGTGACAAAAGAGATAACATAACCACCTGATCGTAGGTAGTTACAGCAGCTAACGGACACATACATTTTGTACATACGAATATGAAAGATTCTATAAAAAAAATGATGCTCATCTCTGAGCAGTAAGATGGAATGCATCATAACCTGTTATTAGAGCAGTTAATCACCATTTAAAGCGAAACGCAACAGAAAACGCAGTGCTGCTTGTATTTTCATTAACAGCAACGCTGCAGCTATATTATGGCTGCAACATGAGATACTCCTTTTACTTATAACAAGGCATTCGATCCTCAGCCTCGGCTGTGGCAAGACATTTTGATTTTTAATAGAGGATGGATGGATGTGTCTATGTGCTTCATAGTTCGCTTAAAATCAGGTGAACTTTTGACACCCTTAATTCTATAATTTAAAAAATAATAATAATTGACAGTCCAGTATTAATTAATTTTATGTTTAAGTATTTTCGATTTATCATTAACGTTACAGTTACCATATTCTACCTATTACCAGCTTATAAGTTATTGTAACCCTCTCGCGAGTTATGACGGTCTGCCACTATCACAAAGTTTGGCTGGATAGGCGATCAGAATCTATCACTTAAAATGTTCTTGTCATGCTAATCAACATTATCATATCTCTATCGGTCGAATACCGGAAGATTTAGTTAAGGTGGTCTGCCATAATCGCTATGTTTGGCAGGCGGATTAGTGATCAGAATTTGTCACTAGTTCTAATCTAATAAGTATCATGTCATGTCGATCGACTTGACATGTTCGATCGAAATGTGTACCTACATAGTACATGATATGATGACCTACATCGATGTTTACCACATCTAGCACGCAAAAATTATTTTATCATTAATTTAATCATTATTATTCCCATTATTATACAAATCCGATATATAAATGTAATTAATGTAGAACGTATTTTTTATTATAGCCATCCGGTCTTCTGGAAAGTCCACTATCATATAGCTGCATGCAAGAGGTATACTGCATATCGCGCTGGGACCCTGCAAGGAAATATTGCTTAAGGATCGTAATGCCGCACGGCTCGCTCTTACTGCAGGTTTACCAATGATTGCATTTCTGTCTATCTACATTCATTTATTTTTAAATTCAAAAATGTCTCTACTACTTTAATATTTCTCTGTTACAGGCCAATGACGCGTATACAAGAGACCAGTGGTATTATTCCATAATTTGGAGAGTAAGTATTATTCATAATTAAACGAATATTTTGAAACAAAACAAATTGTAACTCGTTTATAATTGTACACGTAATTTTGTTACAGAGAAACACGATAAGGTATCGCAATTTTCTAACGAAAACAGTGCGGAAGGAAGTGGTTTTGAAAGAACTCAAGGTTCGTTATCTTTTTATTATATTTATTATAAAATTTTATTAATAAAATTGTTTAGCTAACTTAAGAAAGATAATTCTGGAAGAAGTATGTCGAATGTTTTGGTGGTGCACTCGAAGACAATAATGTTGATTTTTATAATATTTTTTAAGTTATAGTAAAATGTGATCGGAATAACTGATCGATAGAATAGTTGTCACAACGGTGGAAGCTCCAGGGTGGCCCGCGAAATTTGAATGAGTTTTTCTGGAAAAACTCATTCAAAGGGCTGATATGAACTTACAGGGTTGTATTGGTGATTTTAATGATAATAATTCTATAAACACATAATCGCTACGGTCGCGAATCATATTTTGTTAAATATACAACCTAACCCTGACCATCCAAAAAACGCAAGAAAATTTGAATTTCGCGGGCGACCCTGGAGCTTCCACCTTAAGGCATATTACTACATTTAAACGCTTTTAGCGCTCCCTTCTAAATTGTATTTTTATTTGTCCAGCAGGAAATAAGTGTGCGACATTTGATGGACAAATGGTTACTTTATTTGAAACGTCTTTGCTTATTATCAGGTACCTACATAGGATCTAAATAAAAATGTAGCTGATTAAGAATCTAATTCAATAACATGTCCTTTCATATTATCGAAAATATATTAAATGGTTATTGGCGACTAAGTTATAATTATATCATCTCGATTTATATATAGCATATTAAAAATTCATTCTGAATAGTTTAATTGGGTGTAAAACCGTATCTAAAATACGGTATTTCGTTTGTACGTGACTTCGTGCTGGACAAATTTTTACCTTTTAATGTAGGATAAGCTCACCTTAAGCGAACATATAATGTATAATGAAAGAATATTTAAAGTATTAAACTTATAAATATCCTTTTCATTTATAAAAAGACGTGAAGACGATTGTATTTAGTTAGTTAGTTTAGTTTAGTTTACGACGGGCTGTTTTCTGCAACTCCATGTCTATGCGCGTATTTTGCATGTGCCAAATAAATAGACAGACATACCATGCTTATATCATCGTCCATGGCTTACATACATACACTCGAAAAACTTTTCCCCTTCTTTTGGGAGAGTCGGGTATAAATTTCAAGAAAATTTATAATTAAACCCAAAATTTAGGTGGTCAGGTCCTTGTGGAATCCATTACCACCAGCGGTTTTCCGGACCGATACGACTTAGGGACCTTCAAGAAAAGAGCCTACTCCTTTTTAAAAGGCCGGCAACGCATCTGCAATTCCCCTGGTATTGCAGTTGTGCAGCCTGTTCATGAGCGAAGGTAGTCACTTACCATCAGGTGAGCTGCATGCTAGTCTATAAAAAAAAGGTACCTATCCCGAATTCCGTAGGACAGTCTCAAAATAATATTTATTAGTTTTCGTTGTACTGTTAAAAATTCTGATATGCCAGTCATGTCTAGCTTTTCTTTCACAATTCTGTTCATAGCACAATCGTTTCATCTGAATATTATATTAGTACTTAATTTAAAACAAAATAAATTTGCGCATTATTGTAAATTTAAATATGGATGCTGATTAATAAAAAAAATAAATGAAGAAATAACACTGGCAGACTTTTCTTCATTTGTTTACATACTTTATTTTGTATTTACTTAATATATTTATAGAGGAAATTTTATATTGCTTACAGAATATGGTGGACTTTGCCATGACCACACCGCTGCAGGACGAAAGTGTAACGCGAGCTCCTTTGCAAATTCTTACTGACCTGCTCTCTGAGGTGAGCAGCCAATATTTTAATATACGACGCTTTAGTACCTACATTCATCGCACTCCGAATAACCGACCACTTAGAAACATCACAACAAAACTTCCCACGAGAAATTCGGTTTACGTAAACATTAAGCCTCAGTTATTTATTCTGTAGCTCAGGCCTGACTCAAAGAATATATATTATTACTACGTACCTGAGTAAAGAGCGTTTAACGTGTGGTGTATCGGCACATTCAGCAAAGACTTCCTACCCGCGGCCTCGTAATAATACCAATGACATAAAAAGAAAGAGAGTGCTAATAAAGACTATAATTATTTAAAACACTATTCAAAGTTTATGAACATTCGTTCTTTATTGGCCTGCAAAAGCCCACGTAAGACATCAAACTTAGCAGGTGAGTTGGTGATAGAAGTTCTAGATGTCTCACACCTTTTACGTTGCTCCCCGCTGCAGATGTGGGTATTTTGCGTCTGACTCATGGAAAACCATGAGATCTTTTTGGCATTTCCTACAGTCGCATCTAACAACACACATGACGATATAAGAGTGATGAGTTCACTTACCCCACCACATTGTGAAGTTTCAATTGTAAAAAAAAAAAGTTGTAGCACGAATCGAATGGGTCGGCTCGACCGGTGAAGGACCACGCTCTCACAGAATACCAGTGTAAAATAGCAGCTTAACACTGCTATGTTTCGTATGGTGAGTGTAGAGAACCAGAGACTCTTTGTACTGGAAAAGAGGCATTCCATCTTAGTTCTCACGGGTGACGACGCATCTGCATTTTGATTCTTTATTGAGGACTAGCTGTTCCTCGCGACTTCGCTCGCGTGTAATTTAGGATTTTAATTTTGTTGTGCGGAATCCTAATTATTTTTCAAAAATATAAGTAGCCTAAGTTACTCCTTATAACATGAGCTATCTACCAGTGAAAGTCCCGTCAAAATCGGTCCAGCCGTTTCGGAGATTAGCTGGAACAAACAGACAGACAGACAAACTGACGGACCGACAGACAGACAGACAGACAAAATTTTTAAAATTTGTGTTTCTGTTATATGTACCGTACATACTTTTATATGCTATTAGTAAAAGCTGTTATTTTGACATTACAAACAGACACTTCAACTTTATTTATTTGTATAGATGAATGTAGATGTCTATGGGTCGCAGCAACCACTCACCATCAGGTGGATTGTGTGCTCGTTTGTCACCTTATCCTATAAAAAAAACTCCTGATTATAGGTCTTTCTTGAAACATAATATATTGGTCTATCTTGGACTCTTGCAACTTAAATGTATTAATATGATAATTAATAGAATTAAGCGTTACTTTGCGGAAATCCATTATATTAACGTTAGTAAATTTACTTTATATCCGCTTAATGAAATAAAATGTTGTGTCTTACCTAGTATGAAGAGCACCTCCCGCCCTCTCTCAATTGCGTGCACTATCCACGCACTAGGAAAGACAACCAACGACGAAAATACGACACGTGCCTCTACACGAGGCATATTCAGGTGAAGTAGACTCTGCGGCGGCTGACCGTTACGCACATCATTTTCTTTCATTAAGTGGATATAGGAAAGTAATTTTTACTAACTTTAATTTTGTATTAATATGGTCGTACTGTTTAGCAGCGGCGTAAGAGAATCCACTACCCTTTATCATCCTGTGGGTGTCGTAAAAGGCGACAAAGAGAAAATAATCTACATTTGGGTAGTTTATTTTTTAAGTGAATTTACTAGTTTTTTCAGTTTCTGATACATGCTAATTTTATGGGCAGGCAGGGCAGGTGTGTATACTGACAATAATAATATTTAAATCAACCGAGGTTAGCCATTTGCGCAGCACAGGATTACAGTGCACGAGTGTATGTAAAAGCACAGGTACACTCTCATAACTATTTACACTACTCTCGAGGGTATTCCATCACTCTCATAATCCGATGAGACGGGAATCCGAAGCGTTCGGAGAGAGATCGAATTAACGACTTTACATGCTTTCGGAGGCACGGGGATGAAACACCGCCAGCTTCAGACCCCGGTCTATTACTAGAATTTCTTGACAGATTTTTGTCTTAATCTGGGATGCAAACCCGGAACCACATGATCAAGGGTATTTCTAACCAATGAAGTACTCATAAGTATGTTTATTACTATCTCCACTCTAGACAGTAGCCTTTTACTCGTACTTAAAACACTTAGCAGTTAGCCCAAGTGTCAATGGCTCTGGCTTGTAATATTTCACTTAAAGGTTTATTTCTTTACGATATCTTTTGTTTTTCATATGTAAAGACATACTTTTATCCTTAGGTATCTCAATTTATGTCTCAATGGGCGATGCAATGGAACTTGTAATATTAAGTTTTCTTAATTTTTCACCTTTTATCTTTTTAAATTAGTCCACTACTGGATATATTGGGCATTTTTAATATTTTAGCCATATTAACTGGTATACATAACTTTTTTTATAGAATAAGGGTGACAAACGAGCACACAGTCCACCTGATAGTAAATGGATGCTGTGGCCCATATATGTACATCTACATCTATCCTCTATTAACAATCAAAATGTAAATGCGTTGCCACTCCTGAGGACTAAGACAGAATGCCCCGTTTCCAGTAAAAAGGATCTCGGAGACTCACTATACGAAACAGCAGCATTGTGAGATCGTGATCCTACCCCGGTCGAGCCGACCCATTCGTGCTACAACTATATATAATTGTAGCATGAATGGGTCGGCTCTAAACCGCTAAAACTTGAAACACTTGCCTTTTTGACTAGCACTTTATCTAAGAAAATTAATATATTTATATTTTTATATATAATCAATCATTTATGAATGAACCAGTAACATCTCACAACGCAGGGTATATTAAATATTAAACTAGTATTCGAGATTACAAAATGTGCATTCCACCTTGAATATGTCAAATAATTTACTCTCAAAGTTACATGAATATGTAAATTCAGTTTTAATAAGTAATGAGTATTGACCAACAGCAATGTCATAAATTAAATTAATGAATTTAAATGTATTATTGTATTACTATAAAATACTTAATTGCCGTGTTGTGCCGATATAAGAATATCCATTACCCCATATCATTTTGTGGGTGTCAAATATAAACTATAATCCAATGCCTTATTAAAATTAGGTACTTAATTACAACTAAATGAAGAAAATTACGTAGATGCTTACGTAATTTTCTTCATTTAGTTGTAATTAAGTACCCATTATGCCTCTAGCTGCAAACAAATAAAAAATAAAACTACACTCAAACAAGGACAGTTCTTTAACCTTTGACTAATAGATGTGATCGTGCCCAAAATGAAATGGATTTTCTATCAAGAAATTCTCAGTAACAACCCGGAGTATTTTACCACTGTGCTTCAGAAAGAACGTTGGTTCTGAGTGTGATCTCTCTATATTTGTGTCGGTTTGCGGTCCCATCGGACTATGAGAGTGAGGGAATAAAAAGTGCATAATATGTGATTGCGCACATAATCCCGCCCTGCGCTATTAAAGTATAGTCGTATACATTATTTAAGACGGGAAATTCATTGCGTTCTACTTTTTCAGGAGACTCAAAAAAGTGAATATCTTTAAATTTTATTGAAAAATAGTTTTTAATTTTACACACTGCGATTCTTTCTCTGCTACTGCCTTAAATATGTATTTTATTTTTATATCACTTTCAATAATTTTATGAATCTCCTTAAATTGCGCTTTTGTTGTACGAAAGTACAGAAAAAATAGTTCGTCATCATTTTCCAGTTCCTTAACTAATGTATGGTATTCTCCAAACTCCTCTCTTGGTCTATTTATTTCATGTACCCAATATCTTCACTTATTAACTTTTTCTTTTTTAATGGCTTGGATATATTCATTAATGAACATCCGACTAAGTAAATCATTCTCAAACTCACTCCCAGAATCAGAAAACATGCTATAAGTTTGTACTCGTACGTCCGCTAAGAAGTGACAAGACTGTCTGACGCCAAACGTAGGTTGCATACGTAAGTCAAGTGTGTACACCAACGTGGGAGCATTGCATCGCATACGTTGCGTACGTGAGATCAGTCTGTTTCTCCCATAAGTTCTACACACAGGATAAGTGCGTTTCTAGTGTTTATCATACATAGTTTTTCATACAAAATCAAGAGTCCAAGCGTCATAATGCGTTGCATACGTTGCGTACGTGGGATCAGTCTGTTTCTACCTTAAATTGGACATTACAAACAGACACTTTAATTTTATTTATTTGTATATAGTTTTAATTAGTATTATGGCTTCAGCAGGAATGTGTCGTCTCAACCAGGAAAGAACTATGCTCGCACAAAATACCAATGTAAAACTGCGGCATAATATTGCCGTGTTTCATATGGTGAGTGACAAGATCCAGAGACCCTTTTACTGGTAACAAGGTATTCTATCTTAGTCCTCAGGAGTAACAACATACACCCATATATTGCCTCATAGGGGAATGAGGCAATGAGGCAATGGGTGAGGCTTATGTTAAGCAGTAGACTTTAAATAGGCTGCAATGACGATGATAATATGAATAAATAAAGATTAAAGAAGTCTATTACAGATTTTATATTTTCGGGCTTGACGCGCAACTGATTAAAATTTAAGTCTCTAGGACTCATATAGTTAACTTCATATCTATACATCTATACAAATAAATAAAATTGAAGTGTGTGTTTGTAATGTCAAAATTACAGCGTTTTACTAAATGCATATAAAAGAATAAACGGTACATAAAACAAAAATACACTTTTTAAAATTGTTGTCTATCTGTCTGTCTGTTTGTTCCGGCTAATCTCAGATAGCCGATGTCATAAGGAGTAAGTTAGGCTACTTTTATTATAGAAAAATAATTTGGGTTCCTTGCAAAAAAATTAAAACCCTAAATTACACGCGGGCGAAGTGCGAAAAAAGTATATACTTAAAACACCACATTATTCTATTTTGTTTACAAGTTCAACGTAAGGTTGCTAAATTCTAGCGGACAGTGACTTCTTATTACTGAATTTGCTTAAAATTCGTTTAACTCGTCGTTTAAAACAAAATAATCAAGGAAGAGCATTTTCTTAATAACAACTAAAAAATGAAAAATTGCGATTGCCAACCCGCCTGCCAAACGTGGCAACTATTACAATAATCCCCCTATTATGCAATCTATGAGTAGACCTTTGTTCAGCAGCGGAATTTTAATAGGCTTGATTAATGAAGCGGTTACTATACACACACAATACCCGACAAGCCCAATTCGGCTAGACTGAAAACTGCGACAAATCTTCTTGTCCAATATTCCTCAGAGCCTTGAGATGAACGTGTACAATGTACACGTTCATCTTCATCATCACTGGCAACACTGGCTGTACACTGTACAACCAGTGTTGCCAGTGATGAGTTATGGAACCAAAACGTGGTCCCTCACTGCTGGCCGTATGAGGAAGCTCAAAGTCACTCAGCGTGCGATGAAAAGGGCTTGCTTAGAATTTGTCTGCGCGAGAAAATACGTAACAAGGATATCCGCAGAAGATCAAGAGTAACCGACACAGCTCTGCGGATCAGTAAGCTTGAAGAACCGATAACCGATGGGGAAGAAAGGTTATCGAGTGGCAGCCTCGTACTGGCAAGCACATGCTTAGGCTATCCTCCACTAGACACTGGTTGAAGTGACGACCTGACGAAACACACAGGTAGTCGATAAATGCAGGTGGTTCAGGGTCTGTAATCACAATATTTTAATTGATAATACTAAATAATTTGTTGAACTTAATTGTTTGTATAACATATATACGAAATTACATATACATATTAAGAAATTTAGTATTTCAAACTATAGAAACGACAAAGTGTCTAAAAACGACTGTGACTTAGCTCCTAATTAGTTAGATAGAAATGCCGTAAATAGGGTTGAAATTAAACAAACAAAATCGCGGAATATTTAGTATTTGAAATACAATAAACACGTCGGTTATAAGTAGCACATGCAAATATATTACATGTCTGTACATGAATGCAAACGAAATTCAAAAGCAACAAGCAGACATCGTTCATCTACTTCACTACTTCACATTGATTTTTTATTTATTTATTCTATTCAGAACAAAAATAGTCCTGACTGGGAAGAATGGACGGAAAACGTAACGAGCTTAGCGGCGCCTTTGTTAACGGAACGAGGTGTGAATGGGGAACTTTGCGCTTTGCTCGCTCGTCTATGCAGGAGACGACCACGCTCCGCCCCACTGCCCGCGCTCGCTCCTCCTGTGCGAAGAGTACTCACCCGAAATGTTGATTTTGGAAAGGCGCCGGACGCCAGGCGTTTTGTACGAGATTATATCAGGTAACGATATACGTAAATATTAATACAATATTATTTTATTGTATTGTATCCTTAATATATTATCCAGTATTAGGGCGGCATATTAGAAACCCCATATCATTCCGTCGGTGTCGTAATGGGCGATAGAAGGAAACTGGCACAGGAAATAGGCAGCAGTATCTTCCTGATAACAGCTTAAAAGAATAAAAAAAACATTTGCCATAGCTGCCACGCTTGGCAAACGTAGTTTTTTTTATTACCTACTGCTGCCCCTTTTCCTGTTTCATTTTCCTTCTGTCGCCCATTACGACACCGACTGAATGATATGGCCGCCCAGTTTTGATGACCATCGAATATTATTTGTTTTAAATATAGTATTTTATCTATGGAATGCAATATTTTCTGGTGGATATCGCTTGTCAATTATTTTTATGACTAATAGGGACCATTCACATAGCGACATTCAAACGGACAATACACGAAAACCGATGGACAGAGCGTTTGTCTGTCATTATTTGTAGGAAATAGTGTGCTATGCCGCGTAAATCATTGTATTATAGGTAGAAATTCTACGTTTTTAAATACTGTACGCCGAACTCTCTACTGTACATATAAATCGCTGTTTGAAATCGCCCCTTCGAACAGCGATTTAAACTCGTTAATAATTTTTTTCGTCCTTCTTTATTATTTGACACAAAGACACGTCCTTTTCTAGAGGAAATGATGTGTTACTGTGGCTTCATAGGCCAGCTATGGGGAAGCCCTATGTTCGGCAGTAGACTTTTGATAGGCTGCACCTAATAAATTAATGAATAAAATGAGCCAAATTCAAAAGATTTTTGCAACATTTAAAAGTCAGGTAGCCGCCGCATGTCACACAATCTCACAATCTCACATCAGTCCATTTCTAAACTCGTTTCGATTGGCGGGAAGAAATGTTGGAAAAGTTCAATCATGGGCATTTAAACGCTTCTTATGACGTCGTTATTGAAGACGAAACATGGGTTTATTGTGACGATCGGGAAAAACCAACAGTCCAATGGGTGCCCTCGAAAATAAGAAGAATAGTGAATAGTAAACAACTAAAGAGTGTAGTCTGTAAATTATATTACATATTTTTTTTACTACGAATATACGATAATGATAAATAAAGTGGCTTTTTTATAGGATAAGGACGACAAGCGAGCACAGTCCACCTGATGGTAAGTGGTTGCTGTGGCCCATAGAGCAATAGACATCTACATATATCCTCGTTTGCGAATAAAATAAAATACAGTGAGGACTAAGATGGAATGTCTCTTTTCCAGTAAAAAGGGTCTCCGGTTCTCTACACTCACCAAACGAAACACAACAGCATTAAGCTGCTATTTTACGCTGGTATTCTGAGTGAGCGTGGTCCTTCCCCGGTCGAGCCGACCCATTCGTGCTACAACTATACTATTAATATAGATGTAGATCTACCCAGTATAAATATCGATTTATATCGTTTTTATAATAAAATTGTATTGTAGTGCGTTAAGCGCGAACAACTCGGGGCCGAGCCTTGTACGTCGCTTCGTTGCGGTGACGCACGGCGAGCGTGCAATATGCCCACACCCTCGCGCCGCACCCAACCTCGCGGCCGTGGCGCTCGCCGCGCTCGACGATCACTTCCGCGACTATACCTCACCACACTGCTGCGACGAGTCCGAGCACGACGTCCTCTGCTTCGCGGACATCTTGGAGCATATGTGAGTACTCCATTAACCTGCTAACTTCTACTCGTATGTGTGCTACTACACGAGCTCTACGGCCATAACACATTCTTCACTAAGTTACGGTCAATTCTCCGCAACTCCTTTATTCGACTATGATTGGACGAGTAGACTAGTTCTTTGTTTCGTTAACCGTGTACTTTGTTTTCGACAATCTAACACTGATTTTGTTTTATATGACGAAGAAAACGCTGTCATTATTTATGTGCACATTTTGTGATGTGATTTGAAGTTTATTGCAGATAAGCAGATAAGTTTGTAACTTTATTTCATATTTGCCTAAAAACAGTAACTGTCTTAAATGAAAATACAAAGTGCACTAATTTGGAATTGGTCTTCTCTTATAAATTTTTCAACTTTTTTACATTCTCTTCAGTGCAAACGTCCGTGGGAGGTCATGTACTTGGCGCAACTTCTACACCAAAATTATCACTACTGAATTCCCGATACAACCGAAAAATCGTTATACGATGAGGGCAGTTCTTTTCTGCCTACTTCCAAAAAGGAAACGGTACTCGATTCGATGCGTATGTTTTTTTTTTTTTTATTTATGTGTGTTACCTCATAACTTTTTACTAGGTGGACCGATTTCAATGATTCTTTTTTTATATGAAAGCTTATGAAATTTGATCACGATCAGACCAATAGTTTTTGAGTTATTTGAGTTATTCTTAATAACTTATATTGAAGTCGGCTATACAAAATTTTTAATTTTTAATTATTAAGTACAGAATATTCATTTCTTCCATACACTTATCAATTGAAAGACCACGCGCGAAGTACCCGTAATTCGTTCTTTGACCTCTCAGACATTTTTATTATTTTTATAAAATCAAAAATATTTTGTGCAATTGCTATTGTGAGACTATTAAAACGTTATGTATGTACCGTCATATAATACGTGTAACTTTCTAATAAGGCTATACTCATCTACCCACAATTAAAATATTGCTGTATTACAAAACTTATCCAGTGACCTTTGTACAACTACGTGACATAAGTAAGTATTTACCGTGTCAGTTACCCTCAGCTCAGCTCAGCCGACGCCTGCGCGACACAGCTGTGACAGCTTTTCTTCTGAATTGCCGATCCAGTAGTATACATAGAAAACTTTGCCTATAAATTGTCCTTTTATATTTATAGGCAAGTCATCCTTTTGTATTGGCTGGGATAGGTCTCGGTTGCGTGAATTGGTACTCGGCACACAAGGTGCACGTAAAACACTGTTTCATTATATTAGAACAAGTGTAGTATGCTAGAGTTATGATAGATACGATATTTCCATCAATATAAAGTACTTGAAAATTGTGAGTTTTATCTATTTATTTCATAAGGAACCTATAGTCAGAATTGACCTATATCGGCATTATATTTGTTTTATACATACTCGTAGAAGTAAGCTTGACAAACGAGCACACAGTCCACCGTGCGGTAAATGAATGCTTTTTCCCATAGACATCTATACTTGACTAAAATTAAAATGCAGAATTAGTTGTCAATCCTAAAGACTAAGATCGAATATCGAACGCTCAGTACCAGTACCTAAAGAAAGTCTTCGATTCTATCAACTCACGATAAGAAAACACTGTATTGTGCTGCAATTTCACGTCGGTATTCTATGCAAGTATAAAACCGGGCGAGTCAACGCATTCTAGTAACTCTACCACGTAAAAATCTAGATTTTTATTTTCCTATAATACCAGTTTTGTACCTTTTTCTTGTTCTTTTACTCTCTGATATTTACAATAAACGAAGTTTTGACGATCAATAAATTGCGGGATATCTATTCAAAAATCCTTAACTTAACGCATATCTTAAAGATAAAAAGCATCATCATCCGTTCTGCTCTCTCTAATTCGATTGCCGATGATGGGTGAATTCTTGGAGTATAATTCTTTAAGTTAGGTTTCCGCAAAGTAACGCCTGATTCTATTAATTAAAGAAAAGATATACAAAATCGACTCGTTACTTCCGTAGGAATAAATTCATCATTAAAGTTAAAGTTACATCCTATATACGAGTACGTTCTATTTCAAGGCACGGGCCTTCTCTCATTTCTGAGAGCGTTTTAGGGCAAGGAAATGTTTGCCACGCTGCCCCAATGCGTGTTCGCGTGTGTTTATTATTTCTCTGAGATGCAGATTCATTTAATTTTTTATAATTTTTTAAGGAGTATACAAGTTCAATGCAACATCTAGAATTTCTCTTAAATTGTTTCATTAAAAACTTTATCCTCTTTTTTCCACCCTGAAGTGAATTATTTTCTTAAAAAAATACCTGGGGCTATCTCTGAAGCACGAATATAACCTATTTAATAGAGGAAGTATTATTAAAATTGGTTTAGCCGTTTCCGAGAAATCGGTGATATACAGGGTTATTTTGCAAATGGTATCCAAATGTTATATTTAAGTTCAAATATAAATATAAATAATGATATACCGTTATTGCAGTTTTTTAAAATACGAGTAAATAAGGCTACTACTTTTATTTGAAATTATCCCATATAGAATGTGATTTCTGAGCAACAACTACGCGTACGCGCGCTACTGTGTTTGCGATTCAATTCACAGCGTTATTGACAACTGCGCGCTCCTTACGAATGTGTGCATGCGTAGTAAAATAGTAGGCGTTAGAAATTTATGAATGACAACCAGTTAAAATAATCCTACCACGGATTCTGAATTTAAAAGATAAAAAGGACAGAATGTTTTGAGTTTTTTTTTTATTAATTTTTCTCCATCATTCGCCTATATTATTTATTCTGAACTTTTAGGCGTATATTGTAAAATAACCCTATATAAAAAACATATATGTCGAATATAAATCCTTCTCGTTTTTGGGACTCGGTTAAAAATGAATATTTAAAAGGTTATGAAATGGTAACAAGAGATAATTACGAGGTGTGTAACAACGATGTGCAGGTGCGAGTACGAGGACTGGTTGGTGGTGGTGGGCGCGGTGCTGCAGCCGGTGCCGCTGTGCGCGGGCGCGCTGGGCTGCGCGCGCGTGTGCGTGCGGCTGGCGCGCGTGCTGGGCGCGCTGGCGCGGGACCCGCGCTGCGCCGCGCACGCCTGCCTGGCGGCCGCGCACGCCGCGCGCCCCTGCCCACCCTCCTGGCTGCGCGCCGCCGCGCCCTCCGACCCGCTGCTCGCGCTGCCGCACCACCAGCTGGCACAGCTCTGGGGCTCTATGGTGAATTTTATATAAATACTAGGAACGAGCGTTACTTAGCTATACCAGTTACTGGACTCCAATCATTGAGTAATTCCTTCATGGGGCAATGTATACACTTATACAACAAAATCCCAGAAAATATGCAGGATTTTAAAATTTTATTAAGCAGTAATTATTTAGTAAGGATTATTATTTCTACTAAAAACTACATGATTGATAATAACCCTGGTAATGAGGTGATCGCTACCATGTTGTTTCTAAATGTTTTCATTCTATATATCAATTTTTCGATAACACCTGTATAATTATAGCGTGGTAACACCTGTATAGTGTAGTATGGATATAGCACACACTGACATGCAGGTAAGTTATGACATACTATGTAAGTAGGCACGTGATGTTGACACCAGGTCAACTTCTTACACGTGATGTTGACACCAGGTCATACACTCATCTCACGACTAAGTTGCCACCGCACAGACTATTATTTCCCATATCTATGAATGTCTCTACGGAATGTTTCAACATTGTACTCGTCATTGAAAATGCCAAAAATTAGATGTACATTGGTTAGATAAGTGATGAAAGATTCTGCTGGAGAATGCATATAAATCTAGTATATGCAAAACTTCGCTCTGTGTTGAGTAAGCTTTACGTTTTCAAATGAGAAGGGGACGTTTCCAAACAATCTTGGACCCAGGTGTTAACAATGTGAAATTAAGACCATTTGAAAGCTTACTTATAAACAATTCATAGCAGATAATTTGTTAAGATTTGTCAATCTAGGAGCTGAGTTACACTTACCAGTCGATTTCTCACTATAGTAACTTAAATATAAAATTATATTTAGAAATTCGCATACCTACTACTACTATACGTGTATTACAATTAAAACAATGATCCATGTCAGTTGTTTAGGCAAGATTATCAGTGCCTAATAAAGAAGGGCAAGCAAGGATTAATAAAAAAGCAGGGTCAGTATAAAATCATTAAAGAAAAGCAGAAAAAGAAAGTGGTTAAACAATTAACAAAAGTTAAAACCACCACAAGTGACAAGTGTAGTGAATATTAGGCATGTCAATCTGATATCGATTACTTAAATTGTTGTTGTTACTATTATTGGCATGTAACTCGAAGAACTGATATACGATGGGTAAGAAAGGTTCTCGAGTGACAGCCTCGTATTGGCAGGCGAAGTGTAGGGCGTCCCCCCACTAGAAGGAGTGACGACCTAGTAAGACATTCAGGAAGTTAATGGATGTAGCTGGCTCGGGACCGTGCTTTGTGGCATTCCTTGGGACCCCTAAGGAATGCCACGGGGGGGAGGCCTATTTTGACATTAAAAACTGACACTTCAATTTTATTTATTTGTATAGATTGCCACAAATTACAGAAAATTACGATAAATCAAAAATGTTTAAAAGTAAAATAAAATCATATTATTTGTTAAATCAACCATACATATTGTAGTACTTAATATATACATAATAGACTCTCTAACGAAGATAAACCCCTAGTGGTTTGAATGTATTGAATGTATTGTTCTGTAATGTTACACAAATATGCTTAATAAATTTAAAAAAATCTATATATTATGTAAGTTAAAAAATATATGAAGTCTCGAAATTAGTATTTATATTATTTATAGACCTCGTAAAATATAAGAAGTATATAGCATATAAAACTGAATAAATAATGCGAAATTAAAATTTGCCGTAATATAACTGGTTCAACTTTATGGAAATAACGTAATTACTATAAATAGTTAATTAGAATTCAAATTATATTATTCATTTTCTTTGATTTATAGATTGGAGGCTTACTCAATTGCTGTGGAAAAAGAAAAAGTTTTCTTCAAAGTATGAGCAAACAACTGCCAGATTTTCTTTTAGTCGCTCTAACTGAACACGTAAGTATTTTTCCAAAAAAATAGGTATATATAAAAATGTTATTTATGGTATAATGTCATTTAATAAACGTTTATTTATTTCAGCCTGCAGCATTAGAAGCCTTGTGCTTAATGTTGGAATGGGAAGTAGTCAGTGGAGAACAAATTCAATTAGAAATTATTGCGACTTTACAAGGCACAGAACTAGGTCAAAAATACTATAAAGATCTTTGTGAACGGCAACAAAACTTGCAAAAACTGGTAAGTTAAATTATTGAAATAGTAAAACAATTTTAACATCTTTTTAGCAACCCTTTCGTGGCTAGCTAGATATAGTCACGCTTTTCAGACAGTCTATTTTCGTCGTTCGGCGTTTTCCCTACCTGCTAATTTTCGTAGCCTCACCACGTCATCATCATAATCACCTGACTGTACAACATGAAAAACTGTGAAACATGAAGTATATAATATTATAATAATATTCTTTTAGTATATTACGTCGAGACTTGGTTGAGTGCATAGAGCCCGTGGGCTCAATTTTATTTAGTCTGCACCAACTTGAAAACTTCTTTAGCATCGTTGTGATTAGAAATACAATGAAACGAAAAAGTAACACTAAAAAGAGACAAATATAAAAACTATTGGTAAATCCAATTGTGCATAACTTTTAAGCGTTTAAATTTTTTAACGTAGTTTAAATGTACACAAGTTTTAACTAATTAATAATAATAACGAAATATGTATCAAATTTGGCTTTTCGAATATTTTGAACTTATTTGTACAGCGATCTTTTTGGGCACGAGCCGCTGCAAACAACCGATACAGTATCCACTCACGATGAGCCCGAAGCCCCGAAGTGAGTGACTGAGGCAGTCTATTTAGTAAAATATATTATTACAAGGCTGCTCAAAAGACCGCAAATTTCGGGATTTCTCGAAAATAAATAATTAGAACTAAACAAAACAAAATTAAACTGCCATCCACGGCTTCCCATAAGATAGATGAAGAGATGAAAAAATAGATGGAGTTGAAAAATTGATATTTTCAAGTTATCGTGTTTACCTCTCCATGCGGACTTGATAAATCTACACCATAAGCCACTAAAACCACTGTTTTATGTAAAAATAGCAATTAATCGATTTAAAAAAATTTATAAGTTCAACAAACATTTAACTTTCTGACAATATGCTTTTTATATCAATTATATGTACAATCATATTGACAAAACGTTGGATACCTACATGATTTTTAGGCCCTAGTGGAACAGAGCCAGATTCACGAGGAATAGTATAAGCTATCTAGCATTAGGCTACCTACTCCTCTTACCTAGACTTAAATATTGATTTTTGTTAAGCAAGTCTGAAGAACTGCTTAATCCGCGTGCGCTGGTATAACAGTTAGTGATACGTAAATACTATATTCTACAAAAATATAGATCTTACCTTCATCTATAAAAAGTCCGCGATACCATAGGCCTATTTCTTGTACATAAGCCACAATAAAGTATTTTGTGACAAAAAAACATATTGAAACTTAAAAAGTCATTTCTGAGCGTTTTTATTAGGCATGGCATATTAATCCTTACTTCAAAATGTCCAAAATTTCAAGTCTCTAGCTCATCGGAAGTTAGTTTAAAACCAATTACTAAATTCTACCCAAACAAACATACACGACAGCGAGTTAATAAAAACGTGATAAAATGTACTATGTGACTCCTACATTGCACCTCGTACTTCCGCACGGATGTTGTTCGCAATATCTATTCTCATTCATTACAGCCCTTCACAAGTCGACTGCTGAACATAGGCCTACCCCAAGGAATGCCACAAAGCACGGTCCTGAGCCACCTGCATCCATCGAATTCTTGCATGTCTTACCAGGTCGTCACTCCATCTAGTGGGGGTCGCCCTACGCTTCGCCTACCGATACGAGGCTGCCACTCGAGAACCTTTCTTCCCCATCGGTTGTCGGTTCTTCGAGTTATATGGCCGGCCCATTGCCACTTCAGCTTACTAATCCGTTGAGCTATGACGGTCACTCTGGTTCTACTGCGGTTCATTTCTAAGTTTATCAAGTAGAGAAACCCCGAGCATAGCCGTCTCCATAGCTCGTTGAGCGACCTTGAGCTTCCTCATACGGCATGCAGTGAAGGACCACGTCTCAGATCCATAAGTAATCACTAGCAACACACAAGTTGTACAATTCCGTTTTAAAGTTTTGAGGTTTACGAAAAGATGTGTAGTAATTTCCCGAACGCTGCCCAAACCTCTCTGTCGAAATTGGACTTACTTAGTCGGTCGATTTGCCCCAGGTAAACAGACTCGTTAACAACTTCGAGCTTAGTACTCCCAACAATTACCGGCATAGGTGTGACATGGACGTAACACATGATCTTTGTTTTGTTCATGTTCATCTTAAGACCTATCCGTTGGGAGGCAATATTGAAGTTATTGAGCATAGTGCCTATGTGTCCGTTCTCGTACATAGTATATAGTTGAATGATGGTGAAGTGAGTGGTAAGTTGAATGGCGTTGGTTTGTTGTGACCGGCAGCAAGCGGAGGGCGGGCCGCGGCGGTTGGCGCTGCCGGTGCGCGCCACGGACGCGGACGTGGCGGCGCTGCTGGAGGCGGGCGCGCTCGGCAACCTCGAATGCCTCTCGCTCGCCTTCACCGCCGTCACCAGCAACTGCGCACAACACCTCATCAAGGTACGCATCACACCTCGCACACCACGGTTCACACATCGAAACTATCGAAACTCCACTGATGATAACAATAACATTGTACCTATAATGGCTTCGCAACACTATTGCTCCTTGCGCTGCTCACCGCTGTACTTCTCGCGCTGCCGAAATGTTGCTCTCTCTACCCACACGCTGCTCTACGCGCGCAATTAATCGCGACGCTCCGTACTAGGTTGTTTGCGTTTGCGACACAATGGATGTTGTAAACTGTGGCGCGTGCGCGCTATATGCATATTTAGTATAGCTAATTATGTCAATGTTATAAAAATAAATATACGACGTCTTCCTCGCCAACGGAGATGGTGGATGACATCTATTCATCGCAATAGAACGAACCTTCCGTTAGGAGCGCTCGATTTGGACTGCGTTCGCGCGAAATTTTTTGTTTATTTGAATGGATCGCTAGAGGGTTAAGATTCACAATTGGACCGGTAGGTGACGCTGTTGTCGAGATCCAGAAATCACCCGTGCGAAGCCGGGGCGGATTGTTAGACTTAAATAAGTAAATAATGAACTAATAACCATTAAACCAATAGAGTCCAAGTATATAAAGGTTAAACTTAAAATCGTTACAGCCTATGAAAAGTCCACTACTGAATATAAGCTCCTCCACAGATTGCCTCACATTTGCCTGGACATTTGCCATAGTTGCACTTTTTGTTTTCTAGTTGTTATTAGAAAAAGGCTGCAACGCATTTCTTGTTTTGTTTCCCTTAGCCACCTCTTACGAAAGGGCTATCCCATAGAATGTCTCATTAGCGGGGATTTTTTTAAGTTCAGAAGACAGAAGGCGTGTTCTATGAAGCAAAATATCGTGAGGAAAGCTGCATGTCTGAGAGGTAGTCTGTGACCAGAAGTTGAACTAGTATGCAAAGTAACTTTAGCTTTCCTCGCCATGTTTTCCTTCACCGCCGAATACGTAATAGATCTATACTCAATATCGTCGATGCCAGCGGGATTACTCGCGCATTGTAAAATTTTATATGAGCTACCACGACTTCTATTTTATTTTATTTTCTTTAGTTATGAATTAACTTATTGCAGCTGCCTTCCCTGCGGTATCTGAACTTGTGGGCGACTAAGTTTGGTGACAGTGGCGTCCAACTAATAGCGGAACACTTGCCACATTTACAAGTGCTCAACCTCTGCGAAACACCAATCTCAGACAAAGGAATAGAAGCTTTATCAGGTACTGTTAAGTACTGTATTTGATTGTAACAAAAATTTGTTGAGAGTCGATAGTTAAAATGTTTTGGAACTATGTATATCCGTTAAAACTAAATTTATTTAACAATGTTGCTGATTAATCATAATAATCATAGATAATTAGTCATAGATTATTTATCATGTGGTGCGACGTAGAAGGTTCCATCACTCTATTTCGTTATAAGATTTGGCTATGTGTTATCCTGGCAATATGCCAATAATATCTTATGGCTTCCGACTTCTAATAGGTGCGGTTTGTGTATATCGTTTAGGCCAGACTTAAAATACTCACTGGTGACGTTTACGATCACCACTTTACGACTCTGTCTGCTGTGACCCATAGACATCCACATCTATCCTCGATTACGAATCAAAATGCAGATGCCTTTTCACCCGTGAGGACTAAGATGTAATGCCTATTTTCCAGTAAAAAAGGTGTCCGGTTCTCTTCACTCACCATACGAAACACAGCAGTGTTAAGCTACTATTTTACGCTGGTATTCTGTGAGAGCGTGGTCTTTCCCCGGTCGAGCCAACCCATTCGTGCTACAACTATACTGCTACTAATATAGCTGCAACATGGCTCTAACCACGTAATGTTTATAAATGCATTCATTTTTTCAGGGTTATCAAGTTTGAGACGTTTAAATCTAAATAGCACAAAATTATCGGCAGAAGCGTTCGAAATACTGCGTCAGAGACTTCCCCATCTGCAAGAGTACGATATTCGTTACACAGAAGCCTGGTGACAACAAGCTCTTGCACGTAGGACGTCGTTCCAATCTAAATGCTTAAACCTATGCACTTGGATTTGGAATGTGTAGACGGATTCAGTTGTTTGTATTAATAGTCATTTAAATATTTAAAATATAGCAACAGAATACTGTAAAATAACGCCAGTATATAATAATCTATAAACGTGTATTATAAAAAATTTTAATTATAGAAATTTAAATCATTTTACTCAGTATCTTGTAGTTCATCACTAAGTTGTGTACTTTGTTACCCACCTACTCACATAAAAGCTGCCTGTATTTGCGAGCGAAAGTATTATCCACTTAGAAATTAGATTAATTAGTTAATACCCTTGTAACATATAGAGATGAATTTTCACTTATAAATCGTAGTATTATTTAATAACTATAAGGCAATTTATGGGGGAGCCTATGTCAAGCAGTGGACATTTGACAGGCAGTAATGGATAGATGGATGGTATCATACAAAATCCTTACATTATGGAAATCTCAATGTAAATTTCAAATAACTTTTCCCATTAAATTTCTTTGTCATAATAAGAATTTAATGTACTTAATATAACACACGAAAAAATTAAATATGAAATTACATTCAAATATTACACAATGTTGGCTGTAAAAATATTAATAGTTAAGAATATTGTGTGTTTTTACTGCGTGTCTATATAATTTACACTAGAATAATAGGTTAAAATAGGCTATCTATATGTAACATATTTGTACTTGTTGTGATTTTATGTAAAATATTTGTATAGATACTAGGCTGTGAGAATGTAAACAATGACAAGGATGGACACATTTAGAAATATTGATTGATACGAATATAATAGTGAAAAGTATTGGAAAATTATCCTTCGTGAAAAGTATTATATGTACATATGAGTTATCCTAGTTCATTTTCTATGTTATTGTTATAACGGAGGGAAAGATAGTAAACAAGATTTAACACATTATATTGAAACTAAATTATTTTCTAAGAAGGAAATGTTGAAGATAAACTGGAAGTATCGGCCATTCCTCTATGTCACTAAATATAAGACTCTTTTATTTAAAACTTTAAGACATAAACGATATATTAATATACATACATAACATTATTATATATTTTATTTGTATTTATTTACATAATATGGTTTTCTATCCCACTCGGTGGCGCAAACCTCTTTTCGTGAGATATGGATAGTTTAAAATTGCATTTATTACGTCCTTAATTTAATCCACTAAGTTAAATGGAAGACCACAACTAAGAACAACTGTCCAAATATTATTATGTTATACATCATCGAATGTTTGACCTGCCTACTTTCAACCGATTTCAAAAGAGACCTTCTGACAGAGCCCGAGTGACAGTCTTAATTACACAGTATTATTTTATTTTAAATTATGTAACGCAATACCTCTGTCGCTGCTAAACTGATTTTGCCCATTTTTTATTGGAAGTTGTTGAAGGCAGTTTATATTTTTTGAATTACCTAAATATGTATTTAAAATAGTTGTATAATAAAGTCTAAAAGGGGTCGTACTTGCACGAATAATAGTTGAGATGAGATAATGACTTTACGAAGTATAAGTTTTATCCTAATGAAACTGTGTGGACTTAAATATCACTATCAAACTTTTTTCGTAACAATTACACGTATTAGACGTCACCGTAAGTATTATTCATAAGTAATTGTAGCTATTGACTAACATTTAATAATTGTCCAAGACCGTTGTAGATTCACATATAAACTTACCTTTAAAATAAAACTGCAATCCAATAATTCCTTTTACAATTTAGGTATATCATAAAGTAAATAATATTGATTTGATTTATCGTCCAATACACCAAATGTGGATTTTGGAATGTTTTATTCCGCAGACATGCAGGTTTCTTCACGATATTTTTTTTTTTTATAACGAAGCATGTAGTATTCATCACTTAATATTTAAATAAATAATTTCATTGGTACTAGACAGATTTTCTAGCATATTGTGTTTATAGCGAGTACTTAGTCCCTAGTTAGGGTGATCTATTACTACAGCAGCAATGGATCCGGCGCACGCCAACTTTCCTGATTTAGGCGGGACGGTCACGCAAACTACAGTTTTTACGCCTGATCCAATGCGATGAGGCATTGATTCGAGGAGATTGGCTCTTGAGCCAGAACTCTCGAATCTCCACTAGGTATCTACGTATAGTACCGCAACAAACAAATAATAGAGTACTTATGCATGTAGGGCTCCAAACATTAATTGAATAAGATTTAGGTAACATTTAAAATAGAATACATTACGATATGTAACACCCAAAATAATTTTTGGATTATTATAAGTATATGTGTTATAAAGTTAAATGTTAGAAGGTTAAGACCTAGTACGCAAAAAATAAAAACGATACATGTGTTGACAGTGTTTAGTTAAAAACCATTGGTGGTCATATGTGTTTTGGACTTATCTAAGTGTTCGTAACTTGAATCCTTCCTCTTGTGTATCTACATTTTTTTTTATTCACCAAAAGTTTCTTTTGATTCACCTGAGATATACTTTCTAAAATAAATGCATAATTTAAACTTTCTACTTTCTGTTAAAATGTTAACGAACATTGTATAAACGAGTAATATTTAAACTTCATCCTACCCTAACCCTAACTTTGGCGCGCATCAAAACGCACTTGGTATTATATGTAACAGAATATAAATTATTGTCAAGATTTATAATTTTGCTTGTCTGTTATAAGTAATTTATCTAAAAAAGTGTATTAGTGTATCTCACGGAAACTAAACCGAGCATTTTATAAAAAAAAAATTAGTAGCAAGAAAATATTGCTTAATAGACCCACAGAGGATTATTCTACAATCATAACGAAAACTAAATGTGTATTATAGAAACATAATTTTCTTTAATATGATGATGTTGCACTTGTTCACAAACAAACAATTACCTTACTATTCTTTTAGTAATGAAGAGGTATAAGACTTATCCAATTATTTGAAATCCGATTTTAATAAATATTGTAACAAATATAATAACGTCTTTCCTTTATGCGTTCTTTTTTTTATTTATTTATGCACTAAGACCTTTAAGTACACTAATGGATGAGAAAATAATAAAATAGCCATCTAATCAGAACATGTGATTTGAAAGAAGGATTTTAGCCTATTTTCGGTTACGTGTTAATATAACGAGAATCTTGCTGGTTTTTTTACAAATTCCAGTTAAGTGTTAGATAACGATCAATTTCGTTAATAATAATACTGGATATCAGCGTAGCTCAAGTCGGGTGTTATAAATTTAATTTAAAATGTGTACATTTATCATCAAGTGACTCAAACATTGTGAGTTTCCAAGCCTGTAATTTTACGCAATATCAAACTATAATGGTAGGCTAAAGAATACAAGACATAATGGACAAAATTGCAAGAAAGTAACAGAGAGTTTTGGCGGAAGCGTGACCGACGGCGAATTGCTGCTCCTGTATTATTATTTAAATAATGGTTTGAAGTAGATTTTCATATATGAAAGTGATGCGATTTTGTGTACTAAATGTCTGTGCATGTGAACTATCACTAGAAATGATGAAACAAATGCTCCAATGATGATGTAAATTATAAATCTCAGGGATAAGGTGTCTTAGGCGCCTTGAGGTACTAATTATTTATTCTGTACCTTGTGATACTATCGTCATAAACTGTCTGCTGACTCAAGCTACTGTTAAAGTCTCTCTAAAACTTCACAACGTGACGCATTAACATATTGAGAAGAAGTTTTGAAACAAATTAGTTTAAAGAATAATTTCCTATTATACTTGAAACTGGCAAAGTACAATCAGCGTCAAAAAGAAGGTAGCAGTTTACATAAGGTTATCAAATATTTTGAAACATCTAAAGTGATCATTAATATTCAAAGTAGGCAAATTCTTGAGATCACGCATCTTGCTCAAATATATCGAAACATATACTATAATAACAAACAAAATGTCAATGGTATTGAAGTTGCTTAAATACTCGAAAATGCGGGACACAACTAGGGTTGCCATCTCCTAAAATGAAAAAGCCGGACTCGGCGCTCCAAAAAGCCGGACTTTTGGCCCTAAAAGCCGGACAGTAATTTTTAGAAACCCAAACATACCTTTCTGAGGCCATGCAGCCAACTCAAACTCACCAACAAAAAAAACTCACCAACTCCAACTCAGCAACAACCAAGCGATGCGTGCAACGCGTTATACTACAAAAAGCCTAACAAAAGCCGGACAGGCCGGACACATAAAAATTTGGCCGGACACAACCCGTAAAAGTCAAACATGTCCGGCTTTAGCCGGACAGATGGCAACCCTAGACACAACAGGAAAAATGAAGTTACTATTAATGCGATAGGTTGCAGTTTATTTTGCGCTAAGTTTTATTATAAAAAAATATACTTTTTAATTCATATTAAATTTTTAAATATTATTATCTCCATAGATTTAGTTTTAACTGATTATTTCGCCTATGAATACTTCATTGTAATGTTTTCTTCTTGTATAATTTGAAAACAATTTGCAATGATTATTATAAGGTCAACCGGGGCTATTGCGTCATAATTATTTTAACGACATCTTTAAATCAACGGAAATAAGATATTATTTGACATGATTAACCCTTTCGCTGTCCCGTGCACTACATATAAGTCATTACTATTGTCTTACTATTGTGTCTGAAAACCGGACAGTGAAAGTGTTAATCTATAACTCCATAAATGGGAATTAATGTTTGTTATTAACTTATATTTTTATATACATTTAGTATATTATCATTGATTTTAGTATGAATAACGTTTTTTTAAAAAGATGAAGTTTTTAGACGAGTTAGCCCCAGTTAGGGCTAAAGCGTCTTTAGCTATAAGTATAACTGGCAGAACATCATTCAATCATTTTTTGTGTTACATTTGTTCTAATTCTGTGATCTATATTGTCAGATTAATACTAAAAAAGTTACGGGGGTACGTCGTCTGTTTTTCTATTTCGTCATATTATA